GCCGCCCCCGCGAAGGGCGAGGTGCTGCAAGACGCGTGCGCGCCGTGGCCTCTGCTCGTGCCGGGCGTGCGCCTCGCCTCCATCGGCGCGTCGTGCCAGTACCTCAGCCGAGGTCGCCCTGCCTCCTCCTCCTCCTCCTCCTCCTCCTCCTCCTCCTCCTCCTCCCTCCTCCTCCTCCTCCTCCTCCTCCTCCTCCGCCTCCTCCTCCTCCTCCTCCTCCTCCTCCTCCTCCTCTTCCTCCTCCTCCTCCTCCGCCTCCGCCTCCGCCTCCGCCTCCTCTTCCTCCTCCGCCTCCTCCGCCTCCTGGCCCTTCGTGGCGGGCGCCCGCCGGCCACGCCGCCCCCGCGAAGCGCTGTGCTGCACTTGGTGGGCCCCGGAAACGGCAGGGCCGTTTTGTCACCGCTTCCGGGAAAGTGCCCCCTGGGAATGGAGTCGGCGAAAGAAGAAACGGCGACTGGAGAGGGCAGCAAAAGCGGCTCCAGGAGTTGGACCGGAGCCGGAACCCGTAACAAAAAACGCCGACGGAACCGACAAAAAAATGGCGTCGGAACCGGCAACCAAACGGCAAAACGGAGCCGTCAAAAAGACGGCCTTGTCGTTTCAAGGGCCCGTTGAGGTGCTGCAAGACTCGTGCGCGCCGTGACCTGCTCGTGTCGGGCGTGCGCCTCGCTTGCATCAGCACGATCTGCTAGTACCTCAGCCGAGGTCGCCCTGCCTCCTCCTCCTCCTCCTCCTCCTCCTCCTCTTCCTCCTCCTCCTCCTCCTCCGCCTCCGCCTCCGCCTCCTCCTCCTTTTCCTCCTCCGCCTCCTCCGCCTCCTCCTCCTCCTCCTCCGCCGCCCCCTCCTCCTCTCCGAGCAGGACGTTTTGCGTCCCCTGTGTTGGTCCTCCTGCCGAAGGCGCCCTCGCGGCATCGCAGAGCATCTCGCGCTTCGCGTGTCGCCTGTCCAGGCAGGAGCAGCTGCCCTTCCCCTCTATAGGTGGCCAGTGCCGGGGCGCGAGGTCCCGAGGGCAGAAGCGCGCATCGCGGGGCGCGATGCGCGGCTGCCAACCGTCTGGTGCTCTTCCTTGTCTTCTATCGAGGAGGAGGAGGAGGAGGAGGAGGAGGAGGAGGAGGAGGAGGAGGAGGAGGAGGAGGAGGAGGAGGGCGGAGGAGGAGGAGGAGGGAGGAGGAGGAGGAGGAGGAGGAGGAGGAGGAGGCGGCGGCGGCGGCGGCGGCGGCGGCGGCGGCGGAGGCGGAGGGGGTCACTGCACCCGGGGATCAGCCAGGCAAGGTCCTGCAGGGCCAGGGGTGCATGGGCCCAGGCTTGCGTGCAGGCTCTGGCAGGATGCTCCAGGACCTTGGAGGACCCCGCAAGGCCTGACACTGCCCGTGTTTGCCTTGACTCGGGTCCGACGACGACGACGCCGTCGTCGTCGTCGTCGTCGTCGTCGATCTCCGATTCTATCCGTGACCGCGGCTTCGAGTTTCTTCTGGCTCGAGCTCGGGGGGCCAGTCGGGCCTGGAGTCCGGCGCCAGGAGGGGCTTGGCATCGCTCGGACGTGTGCATTTTTCTTTCGGCGAGGACCATCGAGGAGCATCCTTGATCATTTGGCGACAGAGCCACGCACGAAACCGAAAAAAACACAGGGAATGGACGTCCGAGCGATGGCCAGGGGAGGGGGGGCCGCAGGCTCCAGGCATCTCCTGTCCGGTCGGCTGCTGCTTCGACCCGCGGCCCCAGGTCGCCCCGCCCTGCTCGGTGGGGTCGGCTGTGCGGCCCGGGTCCGTTCTGGATGGCCCCCTGGGGCACGATGGCGTTCAGTCGGGCCTGTCCCCCTACAGGGGGAATATTCAAAAACAGTCAACAAAAATAGTCTTGGGACTATTTTTTTAATATTGTTCGACCATTTTGGCATGTTGTTCGAGTATGTTTTATGTTTCCTCGAACATGCTCGAACAACATATTCGGGGGAGGAAAAATAAAACATACTCGAACAACATTCCAAAATGGTCGAAAAATATTTGCAGAATAGTCCCAAGACTATTTTTGTTGACTATTTTTGGATATCCCCCCTTTAGAGGGACAGGCCCGACTTAACGATAGCGGGCCCCAGTCGGACGGGGATATCGGGGGGCGGCCAAGAGAGGGGGGATGACCAGGGGGGGGATATCGTGGCGGGGGGCATGAGATCTCCCCGGATGTCATGAACACCTCCCCAGACGTCGTGGCGCCTCTTTGTACTTCCACGAGTCCCTGGCCCCCCCCCTGGGCCGCGAACAGGCCGCTGGCCATGATTTGCGCCCCCCCTCGTGGACGCCCCCCTCTTGGCCGCCCCCGAGATAGCGGGCCCCAGTCGGACGGGGCTGGGACGAGAATACATCCGTTCCAGAGGGCTCGGGAACGTTCTCTCAGAGCGTTCCGGGACGCTCTGAGAAGGCCACGGCGCCCGAGACAATCTTCCAGGGCCGCCGGATCTCAGAGGTTCTCGACTTATCCTCACCCGATCTCATCCTCGTCCTGGCTTCGTCTTGCCCAGGGGCCAACATCGATCAAGGGATCGACTACAGAATTGATTTACCCCACAATTTACATTTGCGCCAAACCTACAACAAAAAAATGTGGAGTGTTCGTATACGTACGAGCCTAAAACGTTTTTCAGTAGATTCGACGACCAATCCATGTTGGGGTAATTCAATTTTGTGGTCGATCCCCTAATTATTCGAGTCAAAGAAAAACGGCCAGTTGAAGAGCCGCTGGATCTCAAAGAGCCGCTGGTCTCAGAGATTCTCGACCAGGCCTCACCCGATTTTAGCCTCGTCCAGGCTTCGTCTTACCCAGGGGCCCAGATCAATCGAGACGGGGATCGACTACAAAATCGATTAACCCCGACATTGCAGTGTCCGTTGAATCCACGGGAAAGAGACGCAGCACGTTCACAGACGTGCAGAAATTGTATGTCTTGTCAGTAGGTTCTCGACTCGAACAAATCAGTGCTGGAGCAATTCAAGTTTGTAGTCGATCCACTACAGTCAGCCCGCATAGCAAGGATGGGCAACCTTCCCATGGGTACCCTTGCATCCTCGCCTCCTCGGTCCATCCCTAGCCACTTTTGTTGGCCGCGCCCAGCCCGAAAAGCCTCGAGACGTCCTTCCTATGCCCTTGTATTCTTATAGTGTATTTTTATGATGTAGGTTGGTTGTATTCGAATCGAAGGAAAGTCCGCCGGTCGACTCCACGGAAAATGACGTATAAACGTTCGTATACGTACGAACATGCTCTATGCTCTTGCCCGTAGAGTCCCGACGAGCAGAGATCCCCGTCGGGGTCGGCCAGTCAGCCTGTCGCCGATACACCCGATTCCAGTCGAAGGAGAAACCGCCGGCGGAAGAGCCCACGCCGCCGGAGATCGCGGCCCCCCGGAGCGGGGCAGGGCCGCGCCTCATGCGCTGGGGCGGCGCCGCCCGGGCGCGGCCGCCGCCGCGGCCGCCGTCGTGCCGCAGACGGCGTGCCGCCGCGGGTGCGCGGCACGCCGCGCGGCTGCTCGCGCCGCTGGCGCTGCTGGCCGTGGGCTCCGGCCGCCTTCTGACGGCGCTGCCTCTCGGCGGCCAGCGAGGGGGGGGGGGAAGTGAGAAGGTCAGTCAGGAGGGGAAAAACACACACGCAGACACAAGCAATCGTCGATTCCCAGGAAAATATCGGAAAAATATTGGAAGTGAGGGGGGAAGACAGAAGACCAGAAAATATGGGAAAATATGGGGAGTCCTTTTATTTGTGTGCATTTATTTGTGTGTCCCAGGGACCCTTCAGTCAGAGGCGACGATAGGGGCGAATAGCTCAGAAGAAAGCAAAACATGTATCCAGGTGCGCCGCTGATCGATGTCTTCGAAGAGGCTCCCGGGCCAATACGTGTACTGCCCGCCCCTGGGCTATTCGCCCCTATCGTCGCCGCCGAGAAGGGGGAAGTCGGTCACGCCCCTCTACAATCCACCTACAGTGTGGATATGTTTTAGTATTGTTTGTTTGTTTATTCCGTCTAAAATCCGCCTGTAGGAGGACATGCCCGACCTAAGAGACGGCGGAAGTTTCGCGCTCGAGGTTCGAGGTCTTCGAGCGTTTTTGTCGATCCCTGGCGGTTTTGCAGTCCCGGGGTGCGCTCCAGCGGCTGCGCCTCGCCCAGGGCGCTCCAGGGGTGTCCAGATCGTCCCGAACGGTCACCGGAAAGCCAAGTTGTGACCCAAAAGCCACCAGGCCTTGCGAGAAGGAGAAGGCCAGAGGGTGGGGGGTGCCTTCTCAGAATGCCTCGGGGGCCTTCAGAGAGGTTTTTTGTGTCTTCGGGCAAAGAAGGGGATCTTATCAGAAAAGGCCGGGGGACTTCCGAACCTTCTGAGAAGGCCTTCTCCTTCTCACTTCCCCCCGGGGCTGGCCGCCGAGCCGTGAAGAGGAAGCATGGTGCACAAGCATAATTTGTCGAAGGTCTGCGCGGGGTTCTTGGATCTGCTCGGGAGGGGCTCGATGCGTACACCACGTCGTGTGGACGGCCAGGGGCCCAAGGAGTTCGGCGGAGGAGCTCGGTGTGCAGACGCTCCAGCGTCCCACAGGTTGGGCCGTCGGGGCGGCTTCTGTGCACCGAGCTCCTTGGCCGACCAGGCGGCGTGGTGCCCGCATCGAGCCCTTCCCGTGTGCGCGGAGCCCCCCCGGCGGCGCCTCTGCCGCCACCCCCGGGCGCGCTCCGCAAGCCCGGGAGTGGCGTCCAGCGCAGATCGGAGCAGGAGGAGGAGGAGGAGTAGGGGGAGGAGGAGGAGGAGGAGGAGGGGGAGGAGGAGGAGGAGGAGGAGGAGGAGGAGGAGGAGGAGCAGGAGGAGGAGGAGGAGGAGGCTCGGCTCCGTCAGCGCATGCCTGTGCAGCTGCGTCTCCTTCTGCTGCTGCCGCTGCCGCCCCCGCGCGCTGCGGCCGGGGCGGGCCCGCGGCGCGTGTGGCGGGCGTCGGCGCCCTCGTCGGCCCCCGCGGTGGCGGCGCCCATGTTCCTGTGCGACGTCGCGGGCCTCGTCTCGGAGGAGGCCGTGCGGCGGCGCGCGGGGGAGAGCGGGGGGCTCCCAGGGGTGGAGACGCTGGAGCGCGGCGACGGCCCAGACGGAGTGTACTCCGCGCTGGCCTCCGTGCGGCTGGAGGCGCCCGCGTACGACGTCTTCCGGCGTCTCTGCGACCCGGAGGATGGGGCCGGACGAAAGGGGGGGGGGGGATTGGGAAAGGGGGGGTACGAAATTTGCTGCATGCAGCTGGTTTCGGCCTCAACGAGGGGCCCATTCCTCGATACATCTGCGCCTCCAGCGTCGGGAGGCGCCGGGAAAATCAGCTACGTGAGCTGATTCTCAAGCCCCCCTTTGTTATCCCCCCTTTTCGCCCGACCCGGAGGAGAACAAGAGGATCTTCGACCGCACCTGCGCGTCGGTCAACTACCGGCACATACTGGAGGAGGATCCAGAGGAACAGTCGCGGCTCATAGAGGTTAGCAAGACTGGGCGGTGGCGAATCTTGGGCATTCCAGTGCACTTCGAGTCCACTGTCTTCGCCGTGGAGGACTGGAAGAGCCTCGAGATCCGCTTCAGGATCAAGAGCTCCGGGACCATGCAGCACTTCTCTGGCTTCTGGAAGATGTGCCCACTCCGCCAGAACGAGACCGTCGTGCTCTTCTACCAGGATCTGGACGCCCGAAATGGGTACGGAAAGAATGGGTGCGATGCCCAACAGCAGTTCCTGCTCATTTTGAACAGGACTCTCTGTCCGCGCCGCCGCGGCCTGTGTCCGTTCGAGACGGGAGGCCGCCTGCCCAACAGCGGCCGCTGTTGGTTTGGGACAACACTTGATGTTGGGCACTGCACTCCAGATTTCGTAATAAAGGGAGGGGGGTCTCATTTCGGGGTGGGGGTCTTTTGCAAGCTATCTTGGAGGGCCTGGGGGGGTCTGGGGACGCTGTTTTGGAGGGTTCTCCCACGGGGGGGGGGGTCTGAAATGGCTTGTCTTGGAGGGTGCAGAGACCCCCTCCCTTTGATTCCGAAATCTGGAGTGCCCATTTTTGTTCCGTGCCCAGCTCGGGCGTCCGAACAGGAGGCCGTGCCGTCCATCCCCATGCCCAAGCTCTTCCGCGCCTTCCTCCAGCTGGGGGGGCGGGGTGCCCCTCGACCGCCCCGCCGCTGCCGGCCGGGCCGACCCCGGGCCCTGGAGCGGTGTCGGCGCCTGCTCGGCCAGGCCTGCCAGGAGAGCGTATGCTTTGAGTCGGGCGCGTCCCCCTACAGGGGGACTTTCGACGAAGAATGAAAACTACCCCACACATACACCAAAAAGGTTAGAACATATTCAAACCATAATATCCCCGACTATGTTTGGATTATTGTTGGAATGTTTTTGGGGCATTTCTCATCTTTCGTCGAAAATCTCCCTGTAGGGGGACAGGCCCGACTTAAGCGTATACCGCATGCACGGATCTGGAGGATCGAAATGGGTACGGAAAGGCTGGGTACGAAGACTACCAGCGAGTCTTGCCCATTTTGCACAGGACTCGCTGTCGGCGTCGCCGCGGACGGTGGCCATGTGAGACACCAGACCGCCTCCCCACTTGCGGCCGCAGTTGGTTTGGGGCAGCGTTTTTTTGTTGGGCATTGTGCCCAATTGTTTTCCGTACCTCCGTTTCGGGCGTCCAGAACCGATTCAGGGCCCGGGGTGAGCCTGCCAAAGGAGGAGGAGTAGGAGGGGGAGGATGGAGATGAGGAGGGGGAGGCGGAGGAGGAGGAGGAGGAGGAGGAGGCGGAGGCGGAGGTGGAGGCGGAGGAGGAGGAGGAGAGGGGAGGGAGGAGGAGGAGGAGGAGGAGAGGGAGGAGGAGGGAGGAGGGAGGAGGAGGAGGGAGGAGGGAGGAGGGAGGAGGAGGAGGAAGGAGGAGGAGGAGACGGAGGAGGAGGAGGAGGCGGAGGAGGTGGAGAGGGAGGAGCAGGGGTGAGGTTGTCAGCGGACCCCCCCCCCGCGCAAGAGCGTCGTCCGGACGCTGTGCGGCTCCCTTCTGGAGGACCTGCGCGACGCCTCGGGCACCTGGGGCACCCGGCCGGTGCCCGACAGCGGGCCGCCGCTCGGCGGCGGCCCGCGGCCCGAGGAGGAGTCGTAGAGACGAGGGCGGGAGAGAAAAGCGAGGATCTGGAGGCTGAGGATCTCCTCCTCCTCCTCCTCCCTCCTCCTCCTCTCCTCCCCTCCTCCTCCCTCCTCCTCCTCCTCCCTCCCCTCCTCCTCTCTCTCCTCCTCCTCCCTCCTCCTCCCTCCTCCTCCTCCGCCTCCTCCTCCTCCTCCTCCTCCTCCTCCTCCGCCTCGACCGCATTTCGATTCGGGTTCGTTTCACGTTTCATTCAACGTCGAATTCAAATCGACGGACGTTCGATGCAGCTTCGACGCACCAGTAGAAGGTCCCCAGAATGAGCCTCCAAGGAGACCTCAGCGATATTGTTGATCGTCCTGGGTAGTCCTCGTCGCCCCACGGTCCTGCAAGCCCGAGACATATCAAGACGATCCCGATCTCCCTGGTGCGGGACGAGGGCTAAGGCGTGATTCGAGGGGTTGGAGGTAGTACTCCAAGAGTCCTGCGTCTCCTGTCCATGGGCCCTAAGGGGCTTCCCTGCAGTTCCCAGAGGCCCCCAGAGGCTTCCTGAGAGCCGCCACAAGTTCCAGGAGGGTACAGTGGAGACCCATGCGAAGGAACACCCTGTTTGCTGCCAGGGTTCCCTGGGTGTCTCGGGTTTCGACGGTCTTGCTATGGAGAACGTGACGCTCCCACATAAAACAAAATCAAGGCCAGCCCCCGGGGTCTCGGGGGTGGGTCTCTGTTGGAAGATTTCTTGTGGGCTGGCCTCCACATGTATCGTGTCTTGCCAGGCCTTGCCACGCCGTGCCTCGCCGTGCCTCCCCCTGGCCTGCAGTCGGGCCGGATTAGTAGCTCGACCCTGCCAGATCGAGGGTACCCTGGTGTCCTGTGCCTCGCGACCCATGCCTCCTTACACTCCTGTGGCAGTGTGCCCCGCGGGAAGGGCTTTGTGTCCTCTCGCGCGTCCTGTCCAATGGGGTCCACCTTCATCGTGCCTCGCCACGCCGTGTCTCCTCCTGGCCTAATGATCCAGCCGCCCGCCTCGCCCCCTTGGGCCTCTTGCCTCCTCGTGCCCCGCCCTGCCCTCCCTCCTGCTGCCCTCCCCAAGCCCCCCCTCCCTGGAGGAGGAGGAGGAGGAGGAGGAAGAGGAGGAGGAGGAGGGACAGGGAGGAAGGACAGGGAGGAGTGGGAGGAGTAGGAGGAGGAGGAGGAGGAGGAGGAGGAAAAGGAACAGGAGGAGGAGGATTAGGCGGAGGCGGTGGCGGAGGCGGAGGAGGAGGAGGAGGAGGAGGAGGCGGAGGTGGAGGCGGAGGCGGAGGCGGAGGCGGAGGAGGAGGAGGAGAAGGAGGAGGAGGAGGAGGAGGAGGAGGAGGGTGAGGCGGAGGCGGAGGCGGAGGAGGAGGCGGAGGGACAGGGAGGAGGAGGAGGAGGAGGACGAGGAGGAGGAGGAGGAGGAGGAGGAGGAGGAGGACCCGTGGAAACCCAAGAGTCATCAACGATGTTGGAATTAACCCTTCCCCGAAGCTCCCTCTTCGTAGGCCCCTAAACTGGTCAGTTCCATTGAGGGAGCTGCCTCGTAGGAAGACAACAGGTTGAAGATCCTGAAGCGTGCTAGAAGATTGTTCTCGGGGTTTCAACGACACGTATCAACCTGACTGCTGCGTCTTGACAATTCAGTATCGCGCCAGAACGCAATGTGTGGGACTTCACACAGCGAATCAACATACTTCTGACGCTCGGATGATTCGGAATCCTTCCAACACGCCATTTCTGGCACGTTGATGATGGGAACCCGTGCAACTCTTGCAAAGTTCGAAAGGCGAACGTGCGCGGCGCTGAGGCGAGAGCCACATTTTGAACAAGACCCGCCCTCAAACCGTGAAGCTCTTGCACAGTTTGAAAACAAATGTACGCGGCGCTAAGGCGAGAGCAACATTTTGAAAATGAACCGCCCTCAATCGGTGAAACTCCTGCAAATGTTTAAAACGAACCTGCGCGGTGTAGAGGCGACAGCCACGTTTTGAGGACCACCCGCCCTCAATTCGTGAAACTCTTGCAAATGTTTAAAGCGAATGTGCCTGGCGCGAAGAAGAGAGCCACATTTTGAAAACCACCCACCTTCAATCCATTCAATGTTTGCAAAGTTGAAAAATGAATGTGCGCGACGCTGAGGCGAGAGCCACATTTTAAAGACCACCCGCCCTCAATCCGTGAAGCTCTTGCGCAATTTTTTGAAACGAATGTGCCAGGCGCGAAGGCGAGAACCACATTTTGAAGAGGAGGAGGCGGAGGAGGAGGAAAAGGAACAGGAGGAGGAGGATAAGGCGGAGGCGGTGGTGGAGGCGGAGGAGGAGGCGGAGGAGGAGGCGGAGGTGGAGGCGGAGGCGGAGGCGGAGGAGGAGGAGGATGACGAGGAGGAGGAGGAGGAGGAGGAGGAGGCGGAGGCGGAGGCGGAGGAGGAGGGACAGGGAGGAGGAGGAGGAGGAGGAGGACCCGTGGAAACCCAAGAGTCATCAACGATGTTGGAATTTACCCTCCCCCGAAACTTCCTCTTCATAGGCCCCTAAACGGGACGGTTCCGTTGAGGATTGCCTCGTAGGGAGACAACAGGTTGAAGATCTTGAAGCGTGCTAGAAGATTGTTCTCGGGATTTGAACGCCACGTATCAATCTGACTGCTGCGTCCTGACGATCCAGAATCGTGCCAGAACGCCATGTTTGCGACGTCAACACAGCGAACCAACATAACCCGGAGAAGCAATTAAGGAACCCCCCGGCGTTATCATTAGCACCGCGCCGCAATTAAATAATTATTTGGGGGGTTTTCGCCGAGCGATATTATTAGCACCGCGCACATGGAAGGAAAACAAATAATTTCAGCGCCCCGCCTCGGGTGGCATCCCAATTAGAATTGTAATGAAAATAAGAATACGAATGCGAATAAGGAAAAACTGAGAAAAGCTAAGGAAAAGCTTAGAAAAGCTAAGAAAAAGCTGAGAACAGCTGAGGAAAGCTAAGGAAAGGCTAAGAAAAGCTAAGAAAAAGCTGAGACAAACACAGGAAAATATCAAGAAAAGCTGGGGAAAGCGAAGAAAAGCTAAGGAAAAGCTGAGAAAAGCTAAGGACAACTAATGAAAAGCTAAGGACAACTATTGAAAAACTAGGGAAAAGCTAAGGAAAACTAAGGAACACTTAAGAAAAACTAAGGAAAACTAAGGAAAAGCTAAGGAAAAGCTAAGGACAACTAAGGAAAAGCTAAGGAGAACTTGTGACCCTCGCAGTGACCCTCGCAGAGTACCCCCAAGGCCCGAGTATGGAGGAAGTCCAAGGCGGGAGCCTTGTCTGTGAGCGCGTCCTCCTCCGTGTCCTCCTCCTCTTCCTCCTCCTCCTCCTCCCCCTTCTCTTCCTCCAGCCCCCATTTTTCTAATGAGATTTCTATTGCAACCCCTTTGGATAAATTATTTTTCTCGGCCGTCGTAGGAGGTGGTCCATCCCAGGGTATCGCCCCCGCCCCGCACCGCGGCGTTATCTTAGCACCCGGCAGGACCAAAACAAGTGGCACGCGTGCTCTGGCTCTTGCACAAAGGTGTCCGAGGCTCAGGGGGGCTGCCCTGGGAAGCCTGGGCGGGGGGGGGC